GAGAATTCGTAATGCAGTGAAATTGGATGCTGTAATATCTAGAAAAACTATTGATTGAAAACTTTCTTTTATGATACCATTCATGGTTGCAACATTACAGAAAACTTCACCATCTTGATCTTTGGAATCAACTATTTTACATGGAAGTATTGTCGAAGAAGTATTTGTACGATCAACATCGGATACCTTCAAGCCAATAATGTCACCAACATGATAAGTTCGTTGTCGTTTAGAGGACTTGCTAATATATTTAGTAAGTTGTGAATGAGCATTGTTCAAATAACATTCTTCAGTATTTTCACGGATTCGTTTGTGACGATTAACAGCAATGGATGCAGCTTTTGATTCAAGAACGTTGGATAGGCAGGTGGTTGAATCAACAAGTTCTTCATGATCTATGTTGAAATCTGAACGTATTTCTTCTTTATTATTCTGTGGTTGTTGATCGTTCGTATTAGTTGTTGATGCTACATTGGTACATGTTGGTTCTTCATTAGAATTGTTCGTTTGTGGATCAATCGGTGGACCTTCAATTTCATCTACTTGTTTTATCATGTCGAAGATATCATCTGGTAAGTCTTCTTCAAGTATAACATGACTTGGTTCGATCGGTTGATTGGTTTTCAGATGAGTTTCAATGCATTTCCAAGTGTAGTCATCCGTCCGTGGTTGCTGTCCGAAAACTACTTCGAACGGTGTTTGATTAATAGTTCGAGCTACACTTATATTTATAGCATACATAACAGGACCAAGTCCCGATGGTCAATCCGTGGTAACATTTTCATCTAACCACGTTCCCAGTAATTGCTGTACGACGGCATTGCCTCTTTCAACTAATCCTTGTGACTGAGGATGTCTCGGCCGTCCATTAATTATCAGCAATCCCGGCCATAATTTTGTTAAAGCAAGAATGACTTTGGCCACGAATTCGCGGCCATTGTCCGACTGCAAAATTCTTGGTGGTCCGAATTGATAAAATATAGATTTTAATGTTTCAGCAACATTAATTGCTTCTTTTGTAACTAATGGATAAAGCCAAGAATATTTTGAAAAATAATCTTTTGCGTGAAATATCCATTTAAAACCATTGTGTTCAGCAGTTCTCATGTCTATTAAATCAATTTGCATTCTTGTCATAAATCCAACCGATATTATTGGTTTTCCAGTCACCGGCTTTGGAAAAATCTTTCGATTGACACAATGGTCGCATAATTCAAGGAAAATTGTCACGACTTTGAGTGGTATGAAAGAATAACGACGATTAATCTTATATAAGAGATGAAAAAATAACTCATGGACCTCGTTTAGACATCTAAGCTTACTTCATGCCACGTTTTATCTCTGCCCAAGTGTCCAACAGCTGTGTGACATTCATTGACTTTTTCAAATAAATTTTCAAATGTCGCCACCGGTAATTTTTGTTTTGATGGGTACAAAACATCTTGTTCACCTATCTTCACCAGAGCAAAGTGTTTCTTTGCCCAGAATTTGAGCTGTGCCTGGTGTTTTCCTTCGACGCCCTTCAGAATCTCCACGACTTCATTGTAAACCGTCGTCTTAATCAAATATTTGCTTTGTTTTTTCACATCTAATGTTGCCACGAATTCATTCACTTTCGTGTAGAACGCTTGCTCCATTATACAAAGATAGATTTATGACTTTTGTTGTTGAAGTTACTATTTATTGTTGTTGAAGTTACTATTTATTGTTGTTGTATTTACTATTTGAACTTTCAAAAACAAAGACCTGTCCATTTCAAATCATATCTACTCATTCAGTTGTGCATAGAAGTTTTAATTTTACGCATTTCAATCTGAACTAGTTGAGATCAAAATATTTCATTGTGAACTAGTCAGTTATGAATAGTTCGAACTAAAATTTTAATTTTTTCTAGTTGAGAT